AAGTTGCACGTCTCATTAGCAGGGATAAAGCGAAACGAGTATGAGCAGATCTTTGAGCTTCAATTTGAGAATCCTAGAACCTTCCTCTACCTCTTCAGGTAGGAAATCACACTCCAAGAAAGGTAAAGTCATTTTTGGTGGATATTCAAAATGTCGCAAAAATACCCAAATATTAAGGTTCACGAAAATCACGGTATCACGAAGATAAGTCGGTAAAGAGTCAGATATGGAAAACTTACGAATGCACCATAGGAAGCATACTCCACTTGGATGGAGCCTCCATTCATGCAAGCAAATTCGAATCGCTTGGAAGCGCATGAGACGTTCTGGGATGGTGAGACTGAAACGTCGGATTGAAATCTTCCCAGACATTAATGCATAAACCGAAAAACGTTTATAATGGAAGATGGACCAAAGGAGGCAGAATGTGACAAGCTGGCGCGCGGTTGCGCAGCGGCTATCGGAGAATTTGGGCGCTCTGCCGTGCGCCTAGCTGTCACATTCTGCAAACAGGCCTCTCTGCCTTTCACTAGCAACAATGCATAACTTACTTCCAGTATATTTTTCACAGCGAATTCCACCATATTCGGGTTGGCAAAGGCATTGAGCCAAACGATATTGTGAAGAGGCTGTAAAATCGAGAAAATAAATATATGCCGAGGAAATCGTGGAAAATTGGAAGAATCGTGAGTCGTTCTGTATAATCGATACCAACCTCTTTGATATTTACTCTTACCCTCTTCTACCGATGAATATTACTCGGTATGGCTGAGAGCTCACCTTTATCAACCGCTTTATGTTTACAGATAGCGTAGTTCAGGGCATCACATGATTCTGACATCCAATTTCGATACATCGATTCTCGCTGAAGAGACACACAAACGTCTGAAAAAGCAAGACTTACTGCAGCTATATCTACTACCCTCTGAACACGTGATCAAAGACCGTTATCGATTTTACGCTCGCAATAGCTTGCGACGAGCCTGCTTCGTAATGCAGGCTATAATGCAGTGAGTAGATTGAGCAATAAAAACGTGTATGGAATTGAATACTTACTTTCGTAGTTTGGATAGATATTCGGCTCGCCATACTGCCAGTACTGCTTATTGAGGACGTAGGAACCTGGGAATGAGACCCATGCCGGCTCCGAGCCGTTAAGCACAGATCGTACAGATGTCCATACACCTGTTACTCGTGGGTCTGAATAAGGAGGCTCAGAGATCTCATAGGACAGGACAAAACGGCAGGCGCTCTAGTGTTCTAGGCTCCAGGGCAGTAATTTTGCATTCTAACGCTAAGAGTAGGCCAAGCACGCGATGAAAGAGTTCTCACAGAAAGGAAAGAATGAGATAATGGTCTTGGTCTAGGATTTCTGTGTATTGTTCCTCATAAGTGCACTTTAAGAGACTTCTTCAACATAATGCTTGACCGATACAAAGCCGAGAGCCCTTCAAAGATGGTTACTGTATAAATATCCTCTCAAATGGACGAATATTCACTTTGTGGTTGAACAGAAGACAAAACGCCCTGGATATAACCGGCGTAGAAGGTCTGGTCATCGTCGGATTCAGTCAACGCTAACGCTTTGTCGTGATCGTTACAGTACCGAGCAGCCTAAATCAATTATCGATTAGTCCACTCACACTACGTATTTCTTTTTTCATTATGATATTGACTGCAGCTGGCTGAACTTACTATTTGATTTAATATTTAATTACTGTAAATACTATGTGTCGCTATAAGTATAATAAGTAATAGAGACCAAGGGAAGAAAAATAAAATTTTCAATGAAAATTGTAATTCTGATATTTATTTATCTATTTATTTATTTCCTAGCCCTATATCTATCTATTACTACTAATTATCACTGATATCTTTTATTATAGCCTACAATCAGTCATTGCATCAAGAACTGAAGTGAAACTGAAACTAAGCATATCACGATAACAACTACTTTTTCTACAGTTAGAACCTCCCTTTCCTATTGAGGTCCTGGAGAGGAACGCTAAAGCACTGGTTCAGGCTTGAGAACAGATAATCGCTTCGAAAAAAGAAAAACAAGGAAAAGAGCAGGACGACTTTTTGAAGGAGCCAGTTTGAAGTTTACTTTCAGCGTAACCGTTTCAGTCAACAATAAAAACGAATGAAATTGGTGGTGGACAAGAATCCATGAAAAAGAACCTTCAAGAATAATAAAACTCATCAAAAGAACAACAAAAATATAAGGATTTATAAGATTAATAAAAGAGATCACAAAAAGAAGTGAATAAATCAGATCAGAGACGTAGGATCCCAGTAGACCGCTGAGGAAGTCGCCCCCATCCTGTTCCCGTGGGCAGGAATAGCACTTCCAATCCCTCAAACATGAGAGTATACAATAGTTTCAGCAAACAAGAACTTACGATGCGGGGGAGGCCATGACTCATGGGAGCTTGCAAATTTTCAGAACAAAAATAAGTAAAAAAGGACGATGAATAAGCTGACAGTGTCGCTTGAATTTATTGGATCGCGCCACTTTATTAGATCTGCCACTGTATTGTAAAGAAGCGTACGATAGAGACGATCGAGCTGATAACATACTGTACCAAGTATACTGTACCTTGCCACAGATTGATCTCTGCAATTGAGGCTAGTCAAAGTTACTTACATCATTCCATTTCATCGGCTTAGCATTGAACGAGTAACAGTAGCCCATGTGATAGACTTCGTCATCAGCGCAAACCTTGCCAGCCGACAGCTCTAAAAATTGGTTTTCATTCGGGTCCGATATGCAGTGAATAACACCATTGGTCAGTACATCAGAAACCCCGATAAACAAATATAATGATTAATATTTAAATAGGAGATAAAGGATGAAGTCTTCGGCGTTGGACAATCCTATTTTGAGATGCGCTACGCACTCGACTTCTATTCGGAATCGTAACGACTTTTGAATGTGATTATGGTTTAAACAATGATTTATGGTGGCTAATCAGGGTGCGAGGGTCACTAGTTAGTGTCTCTAACTACCCAGACGAGCTTATTGTCAGTTGACCGCTCCCTGAATGATGGATGGCCCTGTTTTCCTGGGCGTATATAGTTGGCATGGCCCCGGTCCGGGATTCAAACCTGGACCTTGCTGTAGCGCGCTACTTGCCAGTACACCACCTCCGCCTATAGCTGAATACCAATTATTCATATACCCACCCGAATTTCCAAAAAAATTAAGGAGACTCTATTATGGAAAAGGCTCGGAATCAGGGCACATTGCAACAGTGTGAGTGGGATAACAAAACTCTTGCACTTACTTCTCTTCTCTTGCTGGTGGGTCCTCACCTTACACCAAGTGCAAAAGCGAAGAGATTCATCTCAAGATTGGGTGACTTCAATTTTTCTTGGTAAGCTTCCTTGTTCTAATCCTGACAGTCAGCTCACTCGCTCAAAGGTCGGCTTGCAAGGTTTTGGGGGTAAGCTTGAAAATGAGCTTTTTTGATCAGCTAAAAGTTTTTTCGTACGGATTTCCGGCTTTAGTAGTAGGAAATAGGAAAGGGTAAGAAGTTCACTTGTCGATATCCTCGAAACATTCTTTGAAAATTACGTCTGGCGCACTTTTTATTTATTTTATCCCATTTGCAATATTTGCGAAAGTCAGACGGCATACTTATCGGAGTTTTTATGTTCTTTAACTGAAAGTAACTGGTTACCAGACCTTGCGAGAATAGAAAGTTTGCTTTGGTTGATCTGGGCAAAAATCTATTCACACTTTATTCGGCGGTCTAGCTTGCAATTACCTGTATCGCTCCTTTTTCAATGAGTAAATAACTAAATTAGATCTAACGATCTATTCTTTAGATATGCGCCACGCATTTGAATTTGGTGTGGATTCGTGGAATCACTACAACGGTTACTTGCTTACGTCCATTTAGTAAGGTGCTTTATTCGTTCAAATAAGCTTTCCAGACTGTGAGAATGACTAGAATTGAGAAGAAATGAGATTGGAAAGCCATCTGAAAGACACTGAAACCACCGGAGACAGCTCCCAATTTTCTACCCATCATTCATTCAAAGTGAGATCTACTAGACAGCGGTGTTCCTGAACGTCTCACAATCATTTTTCCTATTAATGCATCAGTGGTCTGCAAAAAGGTCTCTGCCACTACGGCTCTGATTATGCTCCTCCTTTGCTTCTTGTTCTGCCCGCCCGGTTCGTCAGTTCCTGAGTCTTATCGCCTGTTAGCTAGGAGCTGTTTCTTATTTACTTTTAGTTATCTACAACACTGCAAAATGATAGTATCCACAAAGTTTGTGCAGCTCTCAAAAAATCCTCTTACACGAGTTCCCTCTGCATATCCCTTCTGTACACCGATTCTTAGAGTTTTTTCTCTTTGAAACCCTCTGAAACAACTTTCCTTCTCATGAGAGAGCTGGTTCTCCTGACTGACCCTGCTTCGACTTACTCTCCAAGATGTCAGTTTTTTTTTGTTTTCTGTCCCTCCCTAATCTGATGGGTAGTTAGTTATCAGTGTGTCACCATGGGCACTCGAAAATACACTCGAGAATTTCCCGAACGGTGTTTGATCAGGGAAAACGCGTAGCTACGTGCCATGGGTACTGGTCGAAGCAATGGCTTTGATGCAATCAATAAGAACAAAAGTAAAGAAATACTAAATCAACGGAGAATAGTGTGAGAGCATTAATACAGTAATCGCACTGATCCTTTATCAATCCCTATGGGAGAAAAAACCATGCAGCTGCTCTCGAAATGGCTAATCTAAGAAGTCCGTTGATTGTGAAAATCGAAATCAACTCGCTTTTTACGAGGCTTATAACTGGACAGTAATGCCGAAATGTGTATGAGTTTAGATTAATCATATTTCAAAAAAAAGAGATTGAAGGAGAATGGCCTTTTGGGCCGAGTATGCCTTAACGGCTCCTAGCGAATGTCAAATGCATGGCGCAACTCAAGCAGGATCTCCTTTTCCAATCTATTTTTTTATTCAACTCCGGTTTCTTGTAAGAAACACCGGAAACAGCTCCACAGGCCGGTGAGGATCTTCACACACAATGAGCGGTATACTCTCCTGGTTCCAAATAAGGGTTATGGTCAGAGACGCAGAGCAGGTTCTGCTCTTCTTCCCTCTAGCCCGTCTATCACATGAAAAGATATCCTATTAAAGAAGAATAAAATCGTAACCAAGTGAGCTGAATGGATGAAATCAATATTGCATNAACGCAGGTCCCTCCATTTTCACAGTATCCTCCATCGCGGCATTCATCTATACCAGCACTTCGGCTACCTGAATCGCATTTCTACTTCGAAAAAGTAAATTAATAAGAACTGCAAAAAGATAACCAAATCTGACTTATAAACGGTTTTTATAGTATTATTAGAATTGAGAAAAAATGAGGAAAGCCAAGGATATGCTTTACTATAATGAAAAAAGTCCTCTACGAAGACTGAATTCTGTACGGGAGTGGAGGAACCGTCTGGAGTCAGTTTATTGAAAATAGAGCCTAAATATTTCAAAAGCCAAGCAGATTGAATCTTTTTGATTGGGATCCTTGTTATCGACACTCGGAAAAGCAACTGGTAAGCCTAGACAGAGTGCTAAAAAGCCCTGCCATAGTGATTTTTGGATGGCTTCAGTCGATTGTACAGTAAAACTCACGTTGAGTTAAAGTAAATAGCAGCAAACAGAACAGAGCAGACATCGAACACGACGACTGGCACTCCCGTACTATTACCACCGAGGACTTGAGGCGTGGCCTTGGATTGTCGTCGCGCCGATGCGATCATCTCAGGGGAAACAGAGTCGGCTTATCTGTGATCTCAACAGTTATGGAGGGGACAACACGATCAAGTCCCCTGCACTGATGGGACCGATCTTTGGATGTGCCATGTCGTCAATTTCACTCACTGGATACAGCCCTAGAACTATCTGTGAGCGGAGGCTCACTCAGTGATTGGCCGAACCAGATATCAGTGATTTCTCTCCCCAGACAGATCCGGTGCCAGCTATCGATTCGGGTCGGGACCTGGGTGCGTCTCTCAGTGACACGATCCTTGGACCGTGAATATGTCCAAACAGCCAGCTACTGAAGTTTTACCTAGGTTCCAACCGTTGCAAAAGCCTTGAATGCGGTCCAGGAAGGTCTTTCGAGTTTCTGTGGACCTTTAGGAATCCAGCAATCCCTCCAGAGCATTTTGTCATCTCTTGATTTACCTTTTGAGGGATTAGCTCCAAATTTCCAGTCTCAATAATAGCAATTCACCGACTTAGGGAAAGACTACGAAGCATTCCCATCTCGCCTAGGAGGATAGGCCACCCGCAGCCCATCCCGAAGGGTTGTGAGCCAGTGTTAGAGCCCTGTCGGTTACTTCACTGCTTAAAATGCAGTGATTAACATGCTTCTCCATTTGGATTGTTCAGTAAGTTTAGAGAAGTCAAGAACCCCCTCGAAACTGACGTAAACCACGATCCAGCTCTGATTTTTCACTTTAGCATGGAGCGGAGTTCGATAGGAGCGATTCGATTATTAGGTGGATTTCAGTGACTTGGAGTACTAGCAAAAAGACGAAGAAGACAGAATTGTACAGAAAATAAACATGTAAATAGAAAACAAGTATTGACTAGCAAGGATTAATGGAGCTCTAGAGCAGTAGGACGAGCACGATAACGATAAAACAATTCCTCAGCGATACGCTGCAAACTACATGGTACATTGGTACTATTTAGCAATTCAAAAAAAGCAACGGTCACAAAAAAAACAAAAAATAGCCCAAATCCCAATCGTCGTCTTGTCCTGGTTACGGTACCGCAGTGACTTTTTCTGCAATCGCAGACTCATAAATTTATGCGTTATTTTTGATTACCCCACAGCCCTTAAATATAATTATTCTTGATTTTTCTTTATTTTTTTTCATGTGTGTATAGACACAGTAGAAAATTATTTAAGACAGGTCGAGGACCGCTTGAGTAAGACTTATGGCATGGCGAGACCTAACTTTCTTCTGATAGATCGGGGTTGATTTATTCTACTCATTTCCATTGCTCGAGATAGTTTGATTGTTTTGCTACAGATATTTTATTTCTTGATCGTGAGCCTTATTCGTAAAAATTCATCAAAATTGATGTTTCCTACTTTTCTCTCTGTCTTTTTTGCTCATAGATTGGTATAGTTAGGGCTTCTATTAGCTGAATCAAAAGATTCCCAGTCTCAACTGTGCTCGTTCAGGTTTGTAGGAAGCGTGCTAATAGCGTGATGCACGAAACAGATATGTGGAATAGAGCTTCGTTTTTGACTCGACTCGTTGCATCTTCGGTGAGGATTTCTGAAGCCGCCGGCGCCACTATAAAGGTTCGAAATTTTTTTGTATTTCTACCGCTTGGTTGATAATCTTACGTCTTGCATTTCTTCTGGAGCAGTAGGAGAGAGAATTGGCAAATTGCACTGTAATTCTTAACATCGAGTAATTCAAGGTATTTCTCTTGCTGTCCCTTATATGCTTAGTTCAGAATGTGATGACCGGTGGTGACTTGAAAATAATCGACAAGAGCCTTGAAGGAGAACCAGCAGATCTGCAGACAGAAGCAGATAGACGTGCACAATACTTGATCGTGAAATCGCTTACAGAACGCTTTGGAAACATAAATATAATTGGAGAAGAGGTCAGCTATATCATAAATCTCTAAATTTTCTTTCAAACTGAGCTTTCTAGAGAAGGCTCAGCAAATTAGCGGTATCATTGATCTGATGGTTTTGAATGGATTTACATGCTGATTAGTTTAGGACGTCACGTCTGAGTGCAGCGGTATAGAAAAGAATTTTGCGGTAGATGTTCTTCTTGTGGAGGATGAGTTAAGTTCAGACTTGAAGTCGATCAAACCTGAAGATGTAAGGTATTCTAGTAAATTACTCCATTTCCACACTTGAAAGATAACCATTTAGGTTGTAGTTTGGGTTGATCCCTTAGATGGCACGTCAGAAGTAGCCATGGCCATCAAGAACAAGAATGCTGGTATGTTTCTCTGTTTCATACGCAGCTTAAATTCATGTTCAGGGAGATCTTTCATTTTCAGCCCTTCTTGAACAAGTGACAGTACTAATCGGTATTGCTTGCCATGGTAGACCAATCGCTGGCATTATACACCAGCCTTACCATAAGAGTACAGGTAGAACAATATGGGCAATTAAAGGATGCGGTATTCACGGCATTTCTCCAGCACCAGGTATACCTATACGTCCCAGGTTTACTAGTTTTTACTAATGGTACAAACTTCATTGCTGTATTTTTATAGCTCAATCCCAGCGAGTGGTTGTGACGACAAGAAGTCATCTCAGTAAGTCAGTGATTGAGGCTCTGAATGCTTTGAAGGAAAAAGGATTGGTGGATGTAATCGAGAAATTTGGTGGAGCAGGTTATAAAGTAAGCTTTACTTGAGATAGGAGATTTTAAAATATCTGGTTTAGTAGCAGGAAAGAGTCATCGACTGTAGATTCTGTCTTTTTTGAGATATCGAACATCACATCTATGCTAAAAGGCTTTCCGAAGGTATAATTCCAGGTGATAAAGGTGCTCGAGGGAAGTGCTGCTTATGTATTTGCTAGTTCGGGTTGCAAGAAATGGGATACTTGCGCAGTTGAGGCGGTATTAAATGCTGCTGGTGAGTGTGCTCTTGTCCTTGTGTGGATTATATGTCTGATGGAATATATTTGTCTCGAGTTGTTCCCCTCACGAATCATTCCAGCATGTTTTTTTCATTTTGCATCATTTTTAAAACAGTGTTGTTATGATTTTTGTTGGTTTTGCTGATCTCCTTTTGTTACCGAAAAAGTTCTCAAATTAATTTCATTAGTTCTTTGTCATTTTCTTTTCGTTCAGGAGGTCAACTGACAGATATATCTGGTAGAGCCTTGCGCTACGAATCTACTGTTCAACGGAACAATACAGGCGGAGTTCTAGCATCGGCTCCATGGGTGAACCACCAGGTCTGTTGTGATGCGTTCAAGGTAGCACACACACTAGGATGTTGAGAAAGCCTAAGTTCAATTTACGTTGCTAGCCGTAATTCTACCACTTGATCTTTGAACACTTTCCTTTCATTCTATTGCTTGTAGTTGGTCTATTTCTTCTTAATTTCTTATTACAGGATTACGTTGGTTCCATACCGAAAGCCCTCAAAGATCAACTACCAGAAGTTGCAGCTAAGTGCTAGTATTGTAGTTTCTACTGTAGGATAGTGCGATTTTTTCAGTGATACCAAGGTTGTTTTCGTTTTTGTAATACTACCAATCGTTTTAGGCGTGAATTAACATCTTTCCATAACTTAATACTTCCTACTTCCTCTTGATATTCCAGTATTCTTAACATGGGACATTGACGGGACGATGTTTCTTTGTATATGCTGCACTGATAATAATATATCTTTAACCTGCAGATCTGCGGATTTTGAATCCTTTATTGACCATCGTGGATGAGGTAATCATATGCAACTCTGATTTACTTGTTGTGTTTGTGGGCACCACTGTGATAAACTGTTCTTGCACTTTTACTGGAAGTATTCCCTCGTATACTAGTAAACCTACCTAACTGGAATAGAATTCCAAGCCTCAACACGAGGTAAGGTTAACGAAGCTGTTGGGGCTTTTCATCTTACCATCGTTCTCAGTAGCTCTAACAAAAGTGATAACAACGATAAAGTTCATCTCATTTTAGCTAATTAACAACGCTCCATATGTATACATCCAACAAAAACAACAATAACAACGTTCACCATTCGATAACCGTTATAAGGGGCCTGAACTCTTCTTCACCATCGCCTTCTTAACCATTGGTACAAATTCCACATCCTCATCTTTGATACCTTCAGCTCGCCGTCGATTGAACTCCTTCCGTGACTCAGCTGCTCTGATTGCAGCATGCTCACGGCCAGCACTAAAAATGAACAAATCAATAGATACAGCTTGAGATTACTTTCCTGAAGCCCATAAATCATGATATGCCACGCTTGACAAAATAAGCCTTCGGATACTTACTGGAGGATACTCTTCGGGACATTCCTATGCCGTGCTATCCGTCGTATCTCAGGGTGCTCCTTGAACTGTTCGCGCAGCTTCTCACTATACGCAAAAGCTGCCTTCTCACGGGGTGCTAGCTGAAATGACAAGGAAGTAACAGGCCATTTCTTGACGTCTTTTTGACCCCATTTAACAAATGAAACATGAAAACAATTTTACTACATTCAATCATTCAAACACCGGGATACCATCACAAATGAAACTTTTTACAGATCTTGATTTGAAATTAGTGCAGGAAACCGATGGTAAACATAACCTTCGGGTTCCAACTCGAAAACCAGGTGGTTGTAACAATAATAAGGTTGAGCGTTTTCAAAAGAAGCGCATGGTTTCGGTTTCGAAGTTGTGGCCAGAGAGGAATTGTCGGATTCCCAAGAAATCATATCTATACGAAAAGAAAGTTAAATCAAAGCATGTTGGATCTACTTACCGGGCCAAGTTTTTCAGCTGCCTTTGCCTTCCACACCCTTACATTCATTTCATTACTACCGGACAGCACAAACTTATTATCCATGCTCCAGAGAACAGATAACACATTCGACATACGTTTCGTGTGGTAGACATCCCTGAAAATCATCGTAGGAATACATAAGAAAGCATGAGAAACTAATGCTGCTGCAAATCTCAATTACCTGCTTCTACTTTCGTTAGCACGAAATATTCTAACAGATCGATCAAAGGATCCTGACACGATTTCTTGCCCAGTTGGGGAGAAATCCAAGTCGACTACAGCTGCCGTATGGCCAGAGTGTAAGAGTTTAGGATGATCCAGGTATCGCAAATCGAAGGAGTACAAACTGTAATGGTTTCGAAGAAAAAATATAGAAAAAGAAGTAGACTTTGATGAAAGAGTGGTGGTGGGGTAATGAGTGTGAAGTGCATTACTCTTTTACCATTCATCCTTTCAACTGTAGATAGACATAGACCGCCCCTATGCTATATACCGCCTTGGAACCATTTAAACGGAGACTAGGAAGTTACTCTGCTGACGGAACTCTGCTGCTTAGAAAGATTAAAAACAGGTTGAGTCCTCAGGGACAGAACAGGAACCATTGACCCTTGTGAAAGCTCTTCAGGTGAGTTGTAGAGTAATCGAATACAAACTAAAATGAAAAACTCATCACTCACTTATAATCATCACTTGCTACAGCAAACGTGTACGCCTCTATAGGGTTCCAAGCAACCATATTAGGGCGTAATTTCATAGTTGACTGCAAAAGAGCAATATTACATGGTGACTAGATGAGGATCGTTCAGTCACGTACCTTTGTGAGAGGGACTGCTTGCCGGGTATCGATAACGAACACTGAACGATCACTTGCTACCCCAACAAGGACCTCTTCTTCTATAGGATTAGCACGAACACAGTGAACTGTATCATGACCAACATCGTACTCCCGTATTCTTTTATTGCTAAATTCACATATACAAAATAAATTTCGGTTCAGGAGAGCAATTTTATCAGCAAGAAGAAGCTATAAGTAATTTTAGTGTAAAAAATAAAGAGTGCAGTTCTATGCAGGCAATATCCATTCAAAGTCATGAGAAAGAGTATAAATTTGGGAATATAAAAAATATATTCATACCTACCCTTGAGCATCCCAAACGGTAACACCATCACCGCAGGTAACGAAATTCGATGATTTTGCAAGATGTGATACGGCATGGGGGACACCTGAAACCAAGCATACCATGCAGATATTATCAACTAATGAAATCAAGTGATCAAAATATAATCATAAAGAGTCTGTAAAAGAAAAAGATAAAAATTATATCAGATAAATTCGACACGATGGACACCACTGACCATCTAAGCTGATCGAATCCACTTGGTCACAAATAATACCGCCAATTGCATTTGAAGTATGAGGTAGTCTCCATCGATTAATTGTACAATCTTGTCCTACAGTGATAAAGCTGTTGCCGGCAGCAACGTCAACAGAAATACCTGAAGAAAACTGAATATAGAAGAGTTTGACATATCATACCCAAATAACTAGTGATATATTTCCAAAAATTAGTAATCCGGCCACGGATGATGAGCAAAAAGAAAGATGCGTAGAAAGAAAAGTAGAAGGAAGTGTAAAAAAGAAGTACTGGGCAAAGAGAACCATTTGAAATAACGATTACTACTTGACCGCATAATACATTAAACAAATAAAGATGATGGTACCATTAACAGGTCCATTATGAGTTTGAAATGTAGCAAGCCGATGTCGTCTAGCAAGTGCCCATACAATGACTTGACCGTCACGAGCTCCAGATAAAACAATAGAAGGACGATCTGCAAAAAATAAATGTATGTGCCTAACTATATGAGATACTCAAACTCGAACAGTATGAAATACGTATATCTGAACCACGATTCACTTGGGTAGAAAGAAGGTAAGCCCTAAAATTTGTACAATACTGGGACCGTCCTAGTACAGTTGCCCATGAGATCCGTCATATTCCCTTGGAGAAACAGTAAGAGAACTTACTTGGATGCTTGGCAAGAATATGAACGCCCTCAACATGGCCGTCAAGACTGGCAACGAAGGGTTTTGCGAACACCCTCTCTAATTTCGTCGCATTCAATGCTCGGGTGTATTCTGTTTGAGCTCGGAAAGGATCCGGAGGAGCATTCCAGTTACGTACTACTGAAATGACAACCGTTAGAAAAAAAAAGGCTCAAAAATTTGAAAAACCTAATAGCTGCTACATCCCCTACACATCAGCTTCTCGTTGATACTGCTAAATCAAAAAAAAANAAAAAAAAACCTCACCTTTGTATATATCTTTGTTTGTCTCCCTCTGGTAATCGTCCGGATTACGTGATATCATTTTAACCTTCATATTGAAGGTCTGATGTGAAGACCAGAATCAGATGAAAACCAGTGGGAATCAGTTATGAATACTGTTCACTCGAAACAGTTGTCAGGAAGACACCGAGACCACTTTAAGAGCAAAATAACACAAAATATCGTCTAGAGAAGTAAAAGGGGTAAGTTATCCATGTCAGTCAACAAGCGGCTGCGCCGCGGTCGCTGCAGTAGAGCGCGCTGACTTCCTAGACTGATCGTGCCTGGACTATAGTCACCAAGGAAACAAACGAAAGCTAAACTTTCAAGGGTATCTCGACAGTCTTTTCGAGGACCATGCCTACATTGCTTACTACTTGAACAGATGGCTCCTAGTTTAGACTTTGGCCTTGGCAAGCTTCTATTTAGCGATATGCTATTACTAATATAATCGTAGGTTAATGCTTAATACACTTCACCTGAGGGCCAATTTTTTCTGAGGCGCTCGCTAACTTTCTTTTATGTATAGCAAGCGTCTCAAACTGCGACTCACCACTTTCACTGCTTGTCTGTGCTTACATATAGCTTGACCTAGAAGTGACTTACCAAAATTCAGACAGTTAAACATCAACTTCCTCAGTTTCTTTAAAATGGTGTTGAGAAGATTCCCAAAACTCCTCTTACCTGGACGTTGGTTGTTCACGTTTCCATACTTAGGCTAGATTGCATACCCTATCGAGACATATTGTGCTTTTGCTTGTTTTTTCTCAGGTTTGTACTCCTGTATGTTTCCTCNGCTACTGTCTCGGAAAGTCTTAACCAGCATATTCAGCAAAAGCCCTGCATTACACTCTGCCTTTCCTATAACTTCCCTTCTTAAGTATTGCTTCGGGGTTTTGGAAGAGAACGATTCGATGAGGGAGTGAGGGTGACTGCTGAAACTCCCAACTGAAATGCCTAGGGCGATGTGTAAGAATCGCAGTGAGGTTCGGGAGAATCGGAACTCCTACAACTCCGATAGGATGATAGGATGAGTGTGGGCGTGAATTTTCCATGACAGCAGGAGTTGTCTGTGATTCCCGTTCCTGTCACTTCTCTCTTGAGACAATTATTAACAAAAGAACGGGAATTCTTTAAAGAAATATGACAGGGTATCCGCCCAGTGTATTTCTCCGATTGAAGATAATTTTCGTTCATACAACAGTGAAGATACAAAAAATGTTTTTATTCCATGGCTTTTTATTGCATGTTCACATTGATAAAAGATGGGGTAATATTGCCAGCCATGTAGGGATATTTGTCACATGTGGGCGTATACTGTGATTAACTTTTTTTCTTTTCGTTAGAGAAGAAATCATCACTGAGAGCAGAGACCCTCGAAACACTGTCCTGGGCATTGCGAGCATGGAGGTCCCACATTGTAAATTGGGTTACCGACGTCATTACCTCTGAAATTGTCATGTTTAGGAATTAACATTTCTACAAACTGGACGGGAATGAAACGTACCCTGGGCTGTACATACAGACGACAAGCTGGAAGCCATCACATTGGTTTATCGCACAGCCAACTTGAAGATTATTCCACCAGGCCATCTGAAATGTGGATATGAGAACTCTGGCTGAGTAGGTGAGCTAGGCGAGACTGCATTTCCAATCTACAAGGTTTTTTTAAAAGGCTTGAATAGTGTACCTTTGACCATTTTGTAATTGCATTGCTTACTGGTCGGTCACGAAGNTTGCCAGTTGGCTCCACCAATTGTTCATAGCCTGAATGGTTCGATTTTGCGGTTAGTCCTTATTTGTTAGAAAACCTGCCAGAAATGCTCTTACGGCTTCAGCAGCATCTGCTGGTCCTCCTCCTCCTTCGAATCTGTAGACGTTTTCCTTATGACTGAGACGATCCTCTGGTGGTCTCACCTCCTCGTTGCAAGAATTGACATGCGTCTGAGCAAATGACTCAGCTTGGCAAGTGTATCTCTGTAATATTACATTTATCAAGGAGTCAAATAGCAAAACTAGCATTTAAACATGCTTTTTGGGACAAATAAGGAACTGTGTAAGCCTTATGTTGGGTTAGACTGCCCCTTCAGGATTCTTATCATACAAAATCATTCGTAGAGAGGGAGGCTCGTGGAATTGGCCCAGGTCTGACGCATGAATGCAACCAAACGTATTTCATGAACGTTCTCAGCTTTTTAAAAACTGTTGATTTCAAATTTTTCGAAAACTTCAGCAGTACCCAAAATTTTCTTTTTAATTCTGAAGAAATAGAATTTAGTTACCATTCGGTACATGTTAGCTGCTGGTGGTGCGAGACCGCCTGCTCCATTTCTTTCTCCTTGACCTCTAGCCAAGCTACCTCTGAAAAACGAATCAGTTACCTTCAGATCAGCTGTCTAAGGTCCAAACTACTACTGCTTCACCTGAGCTCGTTGTGTCTATCGAGAAATCTCTGTCTTATTGTAGACGACAGTTGTGTACTGTCACAGTTTGCTGCTGAAATGCATTTGAGGCGAAATTTTCTCGTTAGGAACTCTTCAAAATAAATTTTTTACAGTAATCAGTTAAAAATTACGTTCAGAGCCGTTGATCGTGGAGGTGGTAGTAGTGATCGTAGTAGTAGTAACAGGTGCTGCAGTGCTGTTCGCTGTAGCATTTCCTGCAGCGGTACCGTTTCCTGCAGCTGTACCGTTTGTTGCCGATGTTCCATTGGCTGAACCACCTGCTGCCGTGGTTGTAGTAGTTGCTGCGGTGGTAGTTGTACTTTCTAAGAAAATTGGATAGACTTGAGTAGAGCAAAGTGCAATAGTCTTCAGCTTCAACCGAATTAAAGGCACAAGCAAAGAGCTAACTACATCAGGCCAAAACTGTGCAGAATTGTTTCCACTCTCGATATGGGTCATGATAAACGCTCTTTGTGCATGGTGCAGACTCTGCAATGCCGTTGAAACTCGTCCGCGCATTCACACAGGACAGTGTTTGAGCTTCTATAGCGCCCTATCCAGGCCATTTTTCCGATCTGGCAGCGCCACATATGGTATACGAGGGGGTTACGGATTTATCCTAGCGGGGTATCTCATGAGTAATTTTTATCGTGAATGAACTGTGCCTTTGAGCCACTACATTCTCATCTTATACTGCGTAAATCGGATACGGCCATGCTATGTGATGCTCTCACGAAACATATGGTCTGAGGATCAAGTTCTGGCAAGGCTATCAAGCCTTCTATTTATATGAAGGCAGTTTCAATTATCCGGATTATCCTGGTGGAATAAAAAGAAAGACATGGACCTGAGATGTCTCCACAAAGGTCAAATGGACTGAACGCCCAAATGCAAACTTAAGTCGAGTTTCTGGCGTATCCACACATAAGGTTTCATCATCAAGGGATCTTTTAAAACGAACAACTAACACAATTTTCTTTTTATACCCGATTACCCGATTGAGGAGAAATTCACAAAATTGCTGACCTTGGCCACCAGTGGCTCCGAAGAACGAGAAGAGGAACTGAAAAATTGAAATTTGAATCTCTCTTGCTGAAAAGCCGTCAGAATAACCTTCTACAAAGATCAGTTCTCGAAGCCTATGCCGAAATACGGAGAAAGGAATCCTATTTCAAATTATTATACATTATCAAAAAAGGTGACTATATATAAGTATTATTTTTAGTTTGTTTTAAATAAAGACTTACAAACAGGAGGACAATCCCGGAGGGAGCCATGACGTCTGATGTTCTGCATCATATGCCCTCCTTTTATAGCAACTGCTTTGTTTTGATGTAAAAGCGGTATTACCATATGTATGTATATGTGTAACCTGCTAGATATGCTGATCTGATTTGCATGTTGCTGTCAGAAAAATAGCCGAGTTATGCTACAAATATTCCAGATGACATCACCGTAATAGAAAGGGTTGATTTGAGTAGAATGGAGGCAGATATCATTTATTCTTCCTATTTATTATAGCAGTTCATGGAATGGAATGCGGTTACGGTGGTGGATCTTTTGGTGAACTCGATCTGTCTGAACTTCAACCAATGGTAAGTCGTGGCTCTTCGCGGTAAGTCATGTGTGGGTGAGGTACCGTTAGATCCGAGTGATCTGAGGTTTTTGAAGTTCAAATGTGTCGATTTAGTTATTTACAAGTTTTTCCGAACCCAAACTTTCAGGGGGCTTCGATTTTTCTATGATTCCAATATCTTCCACACGTATTAGGCCCATTGTGTTGAAACAATGCTTCCCTCTCCGTGA